GTGGCATGACCTTAAACAGTCCATTCATGGTCGAAAACCCTCCAATGTGGCTGAATTAAAACAATTCTGCAAAGAAGAGTGGGCCAAAATTCCTCGACAGCGATAAGACTCATTGCCAGTTATCGGAAACACTTGATTGCAGTTGTTGCTGCAAAGGGTGGCACAACCAGTTATTAGATATAGGGGGCAATTACTTTTTCACATAGGGCCAGACAGGTTTGGATGGCTTTTTTCCCTTAATAAATGAAATAATTATTTCAAAACTGCATTTTGTATTTACTCCGGTTATCTTTGTGTAATATTAAAATTTGTTTGATCTGAATCATTCAAGTGTGACAAATATGCAACAACAAAAAAACAAAACAAGAAGGGGGCTAAGTATTTAGTGCCACATTAATTCTCAGAAATCATTCTAATATGCTCAAGAATAATTTTTTTTTATCAATGTTGAAAATATTTTTTATTAATGCTGCTTAATATATTTGTGACCTTGGACCACAAAACCAGTCATAAGGGTCAATTTCTCGAAATTGAGATGTATACATCATCTGAAAGCTGAATAAATAAGCTTTCCACTGATGTATGGTTTGTTAGGATAGGACAATATTTGGCCGAGATACAACTATTTGAAAATCTGGAATCTGAGGGTGCAAAAAAATCTAAATACTGAGAAAATCTCCTTTAAAGTTGTCCAAATGAAGTTCTTAGAGTCGCACACGGATGCTAACTGCTTTTAGCACCTTACACATGCCACCGTGTGTGTATATGCGTGTGTGCTGCCTGTCCTGTTATGAGGTTAAATATTTTACACAGGCATGCTGCATAGCTCTGCAACACCTGTTCTTCAGAGCCAACAGCAGCGTCTGCTACACAGCTCATTAATGACTACACAGATACACACCAAAATGCATTAAACGAAAAGCACACAATGTGTATTTTTATCCTATCTCTCACACCTTTACTGTGTTCGTAAACCTTTATAAATTCCCCTTTGATTAGTGAAGACTGTGCTTTACAACTAAAATGACATACAGATAAAGTTTGATCACAGGCATCAAGATGATCATTAAGAGCTCAAGATGAAACTTAATCAAAGAGATCGTTTAAAGAAGGCTGAATAAGAAGAGGTAATGCTATCATCAGTCATCATTCCTGCATTACCTGCTCCAGTTTTTGAGCTTTGAAGACAGCCAATAAAAGCTGCTGTTAGGATGAAGTTAAAGTGTTTCTCTGGGTTTATATTGGGTTAGTACTGATTGGCTTTAAATTGCTCTGTCTTGAGATTGCCTTTCATCTTTACTGCTGGAAATCACTGTTTTCCTGTTGTCTGAGTAGGTTTAAACATTTACTCTCACTCTCTCACCGTGGATGTTTTCCCTTGGGAACGTGAGAAGAAACAGCTCAAGGAGTGAATTTCAACTAACTAGCAGTATAGGTAAAGAATTAGACGGGGTGAATCAGAAAACAACTGTCAAATCACAGCCAGTGTTTGTATATTTCCATTCTGAGTGCACAGATTATAGACATGTGCACTCACTATGGAAAACAAGACATAGGCAAAACTGAAGGCCTGACCTAATACAATGAGTTTTGTCAACCTGTGAGAGATGCGTAATTACACACAGTATTCTTGAGTCTCTTTTCATTCATTTTCAACATAAGACTCTTCTTTATCTTTGTGTCAAGAAGCCAGAAGCTTCAAATCACTATTGCTATACACTCAAACATATTTTTGGCTTAACTTAAATTTAAATGTGGACATTCCACAATGTTGGAAATGAGATTTCTTCACATGGAATTATAATAAACTCAACTCAACTCAAATATTTTGTATCAAGCTAAATTGAGTGTGAAGTGTCAAAGCAGCTCAAAAAAATAGCTAGCAATAGCAATAAGCTAGCAATAGCACACACAAGCAAACATGCTAAAAAGTTATTATCTGCACAGTTATTGACTATTCATGTCAACATATTTCCACTAAAATCTCAGTATTATGCGAGTTTGTGGTATAGCATTCTCCCATAGCAAATTATAGTAGTAGTAAATTCTCATGTTTCTATTAACTATCACAGAGCTGTTGAATGCTTGATTCTGATTGGTTGATTGGTTCTAAGGTGTGCCGTAAATCCACAGCTATGAAGCAGTTTCAGGTCTGTCAACTGCATTACAGTTTTATATCACTTTGCTAAACTATTTAATTTATTTTATTTAAGGTCCTTACAATGTACAAGAACTGAACACGACAAAAGACACTGACCAAGTTTTGTAATTAGAAACAGAGACTTGGTATGAGAAAATCTAACAAATGTCTTGGGAAAAAAATTTTAGCAATGTCTTAAATTGTCGTAACCATGTTATAATTCACTCTGGTCCATTGAATTACTGAAAAAAATAAACACCTAAGTGAAACGAAGTGAACCCTCATTAATTATTTTTTTAGATATGAAATTATAGTAAACATAACTTCTTAATAATGAATTCCAGAGGTTTTAAATTCTTGCTTTGTCCTGTTGTGGGACACTTAAGATCTAATTTTGTGCATAATTTTCTCACATCCATACACTGAACTGCACCAAAATTGGCAGTGGAAAGGTGGAAGCGCTTGTTTATGGAGTCCAATTTCTCATTGAGCAAAGCTATGCATACCACAGTCACAAGCTAGCATTCTCAACCCAAGCACAAGTGCCACTTTTCAGCATTATGGCAACCACGGGCTTCACCCTTTTTCATCTTGCTCGAAAACACATAAAATAGAACTTCATTTCAACATTTACTTTGCCCATCGAGTATCATGCAAAGCACGCTGGGAACCATAAATCCTCTAGCCATTCAAACATAAACAGATTAAGTACATTTCTATTTTACAAATTTATGTGAATTGCACAGTGAAATTAAGCTGATGTTCAAGAACTGTGTTCCATTAGCTTTTTAAGTAAATTGAACAAGAGGCAAAAATAATTTTTTTGAGTGTACAGTGCATGGACTATCCATCCACATAGAGAAAGCACACACAAAACTAATCCTTACATTCCTGAACTCTCATAGGGAGACACTGAGGTAAACCTCTGACAACAGCAGATCTTATGTTTATCAGAATCAAAGTCGACAGAGAAGGAATCCATTTGCTTTTATTTGACATTCACCCCCCAACCCCCCAACCTCCCAACCTATACTCTAATGGTGAGAATGGCAATACTGTTCTCCATCTGGTTAGGTAGCGCCAACGCAGGCTAAATTAGCACGTGGCACACAGCAGGCATATGCCACAGCGTTAAGCTACATTAGAGCATTGTGTGCCAGCTGTTGTGATGACAAATACTAGCACGACAATCGTGCAGTTCACAGGCTTGAAGTGTACAAGACGACAAGGCTAAGAGGCAGTGGTGCTTTTTACTGAAAGTGGAGTATTTTTTATTTTGGGGGGGGAGAAACATGATTTGGTAACACTATACAAAAAGGTTTTATTTGTTAACATTAGTTAGAAAAAGATTTTTTAAGAAAAAGCTAGTAAATTTCACAAATAATAAATAAAAATAAAAAAACACACAAGTAAAACTTTTGAAGTAGAAACATTGAAATAGTATTTTCTTGCAAATGTACTCCAATAATCAGTTTTATTTAGAACTTCGAAAAAAGTTTGCTTACAGTGCATGGACTAACAATATACAATACTTATACAACATTTATTAATCTTCATTATTGTTAATCTTAATATTTCCTAATATATTTTTTAATATTTGTATTAAGTAACATTACCAAAGGTTAATACAAGTTGCAAGCATATTTTGCTCATTGTTAGTTAATGTTAGATAACGCATTAATTAATGTTAGCAAATGAGACTCTATTGTAAAGTGTCACCTATGATTTATGAAGCACTAACAGACCTATTACGAGTATCAAACTGTACAGTGGACAATCAAAGATTTGGGAAATTTTGTTAGCACTTTATTTTAATGTGTCCTTCTTAAACATTACTTGTATTTATTATAGTAGTGAGAGCAAATTATTTATTATTACTAGCAACTAACAATAAACCAAATCCTAAACCTAAAGGCACAATATTACTCAGAACTTAGTTTACGTATGCGTTTTTTAGGTTTTTTTTTTTTGTATTTGTCGAAGCATTTCCTATCAAAATGCTTGCTACGGATGCGAAAACGCAGAAAATCGAACCTGGTCCGAATTTTTTTTATGATGGACGAAAGCTTCAGAGGCAGTGTGTAAACGTGATTGACAACGTGAGGTCGCATATTTTTTAACTTGCGAAAAATTCGGACGAAAATTTCGTACTCAGTGTGCAAAGACCGTAACAATGAAACATTAAAATATAGTGTGATTTATATCGCTACATCTACTGGTACAACTTAACATGTAATGGCTGTGACCATATGAGGTCATCAGGGGTGGAGACTTGATGTGGCATGTGTGTGTGTGTGTGCGCGTCTGTGTCTCCAGCTGCTGAGCCTTCACTACAGATCAGCCCCATCTGTCCAGCTTGTGTTTGCGTGTGTTTGCGTCCGAGACCACATCATGCCCTGGTCGTGACACCATGTTAATGAGATCCACACAGTTGACAGGTGAAAGCAGCACCGCTGGCAGTTGACAAATCCCCATACAAACACTCACAGACTTATGAAAACACTTAAGGCAACGGACATCCAAACACACCTCGCCCGTCTGCCTGCTGAAGACCGTCTACAAACACACACACTCAGACACGTGGCAGATGAAAACACTGCTGGCATCAAAGCACAAACGCTGCACACATCTCAGTGACATGCAAAGACAGAGATTCTCACAGCTTGGTGGCACATATGTCAACTTTTCAAGGTAAATATTCACTTCACACACACACACACACACACACACAAACTGCACCCCTTCTTCTTCACTCCTTCTTCACTTCTATTTAAAAAACACACATTTTAACAAACAATCCCAAATGAGCAAATCAAAAGCAGTGCAGCCATTACCACAAAAGCTGTTTTCAAAATGGCATTTTAATTTAGTTAACATTTAAGAGAACAGCACAGAGATAATAACGTCCACCTGGCTTCATTTTACACAAGTACACTAGTCGTCATTCTTTCTCCCATTACAGCCGCTCATGGAGAATCTCTCCAATAGTGTACGGTTACATCAGCAGAGATTAAAAAACAATCCCAATGCATGTTTCTTTCCATAACCTTTCAGTTTAAACCAGGCCATGTAAACAATCCGATAACCCATAGCAAAAATGTGCACAGTACATCAATCCAGTATCTCGATGAACAGTGTTACCGCAAATTAGCCAACAGCACTGCAGTTTAGCGTGAAACAGCTTCTGCCCATTCAGCCTCCGCCGTGAACACTCAAACCAGAGCATGTCATATACAAACAGGAACTGGAATCAGTTCTTTATAACAGTAACATGTCCTTGACTGCAAAACAGTAACTTTTGGAATTTCACATCATCATAATATTTGCACAAATTGACTCGTATCTGTAAGAAGTAATTTACCACTAATTTATGATTTTGAGAGCATGGCCTGGGAAGCTGCTAGTATTTTTTTTGCAATATTTAAAATAATATTTCCACATTTATAAAAACCAAATCATAATAAAATGAAATAATTCCTATTTTAACAAGAAAAGGCTCAATTATATTATTCTTCATGTCAAAAAAAACAAAAAAAGTGTGCTTAATCATCTCATTCTTCTGTCTTGATCTGGGACCAGTGCATGGCAGTCAAGGGCTCTGCTGTATGTGAACACACCTGACAAAGACTTCACAGCAAAATATAAAGGCAAAAACAGGGACTACACACAGTGCATCTGAACTATAATTAATGCTGGACGCTGCAGTGCATTAAGATGGGTTAATGACGAATGGAAGAATTCAGACAGAAGGGAAACATCCTGTTTTGGTCATTCATCCAAGGCTTCATTTACAGGGTTAGAATGTGTTGTTGTTTGGAGGGGTCAGTTCTGGCGGTAGGTGGCGAATGTGAAGCCATCAGGTGAGTGAGCGTCTGCGAAACACCTGAGGGCTGGAAAGATTGCGAATTCTCTCCGTGCAAAACACCGCTCGGAACACTCAAGAGTTTGAGCTTAGCCCAAGACGGCACAGATCAGAGAAAACAACAACGACACTTCAACAAACACACAAACACATATGCTCTCACACAGTGCAAATATGCTTTTTCGTTCATTCTCTTGATCTCTCCTTCGCTCTCATGACTGTATTTACCCTGCAGTATGTACAGAGAGATGCAGAACAGAGGATGAGGCAACCGGACGTGGGAGTGCATTTTCCTGGGCACTTTTTTCCTCCTCATTCTCTCTTCACCACAGCCCCTTTTCCTCTGTTCCCTCGTTCCCTCATCTCTCTCCTTCTCGGCCATTCCCTTTCCTACCTTTCCATCCTTCTTTATTCCTCCTTCTCTATTTATAGAGGCTCATGGTGGGACTCTGGTACATGCACATATAGGCGTCACAGAGAAGTCTGCGTGCATAGCCCTGGATGTTCTTGGGGTCCAGTGCGTGGAGTTCCTCCGGGGTCATCTTCAGGTAGGCCCCTACTTCAGGGCATGGGGAAACCTGTGGGATGTTAAACCCGTTCTGACCGCCTACCACCAAAAACAGAGAAAAAAATATGACAATTCAGTAAAAGTACAGTGAGTCAATTTATTCAATAAAACTCAAAAGGTGAGAGTTGTATTAAAATGATATTAGATAGATTATATTGAAATTATATCAGATAGAAAGTCGTCTGTACCGTCGCGGTCAGCCATACTATCGAAGAATAGCCAGGCCGAGTCTGCAGATCCATATTTGACAAAGGCAACATAGTGGCTCGTCTCAATGCAGAGCACGGCAAACAGCTCCATCTGCTGGTGAGGGTAAGATCCCTGTCTCCAAACCGACTCCTGCAGCTCTTTAGGTATAGATAACTTAACATATCGATGAGACTTACGCCGTGGGTGTAGATGTACCTAAAGGTCCAGGAAATTAACACATATGCGAGGACAGATATATAGAACAAAAACATGTACATTCACGTATATTTAAGCACAGAAAGGAACTGCTATAGTCAAGCGTGTTTGAGCATTATTCATTTGGAAAAGTTTCCATCTAGTGGATATGAAAGGTACTGCAGACAAAGATAATTGAATTTTCTTAGGGCTAGAAGAACATGTTTGTGTCTTGTGTCCTACCTGTGTATTGCACTTTTCGCAGAACTGCTTGATCTTTCCTGGTGTGATGTCACAATCTTCATAGCACTCTCTGCATTCGTAAAGAGCTAAGCCACCGCAAATTCGACATTCTCTAGGAGCTGACAAAAACATTAGTTGTATCATTTTCCTTTAAACACAGAAAACATAGAGCACAGCCAGAATGATGCATATTACATGATATTAGTTCTTTATCTCAAACACAGATATATTATTTTGGTATGTGGAATGGTATTCTAATAACAGCACAAATCAAATCAGTTATTGAACTGACTCACTGTCATCTAATAGATCTGTGATGTCAAGCTCCAGAGAAGGGAAGATCTTATTAAACATCTTAAAGTCCTTCCCAAAGCGAGGCATCTGAATTATAAGGCAAGAAGGGGCCTGGACAGAAACAAACAGACAAGAACATGACAGTGCCCTTCATTTGTCCTTACACCACACCAACAAACATATTTGGATGTGGAAATTCTCATCTAAATGCATCTTAATTCTCTTTTAATTTTGTTTTTCTATGTGCTTCAGCAAGGATACATTCAATTCATCAGAATTGACAGTAAAGACATTTAAGATGTTCCAAAAGGTTTCTATTTCAAATAAATGTAGTTATTTTAAACTTCCTATTCAATGAATCTAAATTACAATTTCACAGTATTACGGTTTTTACTGTATTCTGGATCAAAAAAATGCAACCTTGGTGGGCATAAGAGACGTCTTTCAAAAAGACTAAACAAATCTTACTTACTGACCCCAAATAAATACATTAAAAAAACATTAAGGTTACACTTTATTTCGATAGTCCACTTTAGACATTCTATTAACTATAAGTAACTTTGTAACTACATGTCAACTACATGTCAACTAATTCTCATTAATTTGCAACTACATGTCTACTAACTCTCAGAGTAGACTGTTAGGGTAGGTTTAGGGTTAGTAGAATAAGTTGACAAAGAAAGTGTTAGAAGATATTAAGCAGACAGTCTACTAATACTCTACTAACTGCTAGTTGACATGTAGTTGCAAAGTTACTTACTGTTAATAGAATGTCTAAAGTGGACTATCAAAATAAAGTGTTACCCAAAAAGGTTTTATTTGTTAACATTAGTTAGAAAAAGATTTTTTAAGAAAAAGCTAGTAAATTTCACAAATAATAAATAAAAATAAAAAAACACACAAGTAAAACTTTTGAAGTAGAAACATTGAAATAGTATTTTCTTGCAAATGTACTCCAATAATCAGTTTTATTTAGAACTTCGAAAAAAGTTTGCTTACAGTGCATGGACTAACAATATACAATACTTATACAACATTTATTAATCTTCATTATTGTTAATCTTAATATTTCCTAATATATTTTTTAATATTTGTATTAAGTAACATTACCAAAGGTTAATACAAGTTGCAAGCATATTTTGCTCATTGTTAGTTAATGTTAGATAACGCATTAATTAATGTTAGCAAATGAGACTCTATTGTAAAGTGTCACCTATGATTTATGAAGCACTAACAGACCTATTACGAGTATCAAACTGTACAGTGGACAATCAAAGATTTGGGAAATTTTGTTAGCACTTTATTTTAATGTGTCCTTCTTAAACATTACTTGTATTTATTATAGTAGTGAGAGCAAATTATTTATTATTACTAGCAACTAACAATAAACCAAATCCTAAACCTAAAGGCACAATATTACTCAGAACTTAGTTTACGTATGCGTTTTTTAGGTTTTTTTTTTTTGTATTTGTCGAAGCATTTCCTATCAAAATGCTTGCTACGGATGCGAAAACGCAGAAAATCGAACCTGGTCCGAATTTTTTTTATGATGGACGAAAGCTTCAGAGGCAGTGTGTAAACGTGATTGACAACGTGAGGTCGCATATTTTTTAACTTGCGAAAAATTCGGACGAAAATTTCGTACTCAGTGTGCAAAGACCGTAACAATGAAACATTAAAATATAGTGTGATTTATATCGCTACATCTACTGGTACAACTTAACATGTAATGGCTGTGACCATATGAGGTCATCAGGGGTGGAGACTTGATGTGGCATGTGTGTGTGTGTGTGCGCGTCTGTGTCTCCAGCTGCTGAGCCTTCACTACAGATCAGCCCCATCTGTCCAGCTTGTGTTTGCGTGTGTTTGCGTCCGAGACCACATCATGCCCTGGTCGTGACACCATGTTAATGAGATCCACACAGTTGACAGGTGAAAGCAGCACCGCTGGCAGTTGACAAATCCCCATACAAACACTCACAGACTTATGAAAACACTTAACGCAACGGACATCCAAACACACCTCGCCCGTCTGCCTGCTGAAGACCGTCTACAAACACACACACTCAGACACGTGGCAGATGAAAACACTGCTGGCATCAAAGCACAAACGCTGCACACATCTCAGTGACATGCAAAGACAGAGATTCTCACAGCTTGGTGGCACATATGTCAACTTTTCAAGGTAAATATTCACTTCACACACACACACACACACACACACAAACTGCACCCCTTCTTCTTCACTCCTTCTTCACTTCTATTTAAAAAACACACATTTTAACAAACAATCCCAAATGACCAAATCAAAAGCAGTGCAGCCATTACCACAAAAGCTGTGTTCAAAATGGCATTTTAATTTAGTTAACATTTAAGAGAACAGCACAGAGATAATAACGTCCACCTGGCTTCATTTTACACAAGTACACTAGTCGTCATTCTTTCTCCCATTACAGCCGCTCATGGAGAATCTCTCCAATAGTGTACGGTTACATCAGCAGAGATTAAAAAACAATCCCAATGCATGTTTCTTTCCATAACCTTTCAGTTTAAACCAGGCCATGTAAACAATCCGATAACCCATAGCAAAAATGTGCACAGTACATCAATCCAGTATCTCGATGAACAGTGTTACCGCAAATTAGCCAACAGCACTGCAGTTTAGCGTGAAACAGCTTCTGCCCATTCAGCCTCCGCCGTGAACACTCAAACCAGAGCATGTCATATACAAACAGGAACTGGAATCAGTTCTTTATAACAGTAACATGTCCTTGACTGCAAAACAGTAACTTTTGGAATTTCACATCATCATAATATTTGCACAAATTGACTCGTATCTGTAAGAAGTAATTTACCACTAATTTATGATTTTGAGAGCATGGCCTGGGAAGCTGCTAGTATTTTTTTTGCAATATTTAAAATAATATTTCCACATTTATAAAAACCAAATCATAATAAAATGAAATAATTCCTATTTTAACAAGAAAAGGCTCAATTATATTATTCTTCATGTCAAAAAAAACAAAAAAAGTGTGCTTAATCATCTCATTCTTCTGTCTTGATCTGGGACCAGTGCATGGCAGTCAAGGGCTCTGCTGTATGTGAACACACCTGACAAAGACTTCACAGCAAAATATAAAGGCAAAAACAGGGACTACACACAGTGCATCTGAACTATAATTAATGCTGGATGCTGCAGTGCATTAAGATGGGTTAATGACGAATGGAAGAATTCAGACAGAAGGGAAACATCCTGTTTTGGTCATTCATCCAAGGCTTCATTTACAGGGTTAGAATGTGTTGTTGTTTGGAGGGGTCAGTTCTGGCGGTAGGTGGCGAATGTGAAGCCATCAGGTGAGTGAGCGTCTGCGAAACACCTGAGGGCTGGAAAGATTGCGAATTCTCTCCGTGCAAAACACCGCTCGGAACACTCAAGAGTTTGAGCTTAGCCCAAGACGGCACAGATCAGAGAAAACAACAACGACACTTCAACAAACACACAAACACATATGCTCTCACACAGTGCAAATATGCTTTTTCGTTCATTCTCTTGATCTCTCCTTCGCTCTCATGACTGTATTTACCCTGCAGTATGTACAGAGAGATGCAGAACAGAGGATGAGGCAACCGGACGTGGGAGTGCATTTTCCTGGGCACTTTTTTCCTCCTCATTCTCTCTTCACCACAGCCCCTTTTCCTCTGTTCCCTCGTTCCCTCATCTCTCTCCTTCTCGGCCATTCCCTTTCCTACCTTTCCATCCTTCTTCATTTCTCCCTCTCTATTTATAGAGGCTCATGGTGGGACTCTGGTACATGCACATATAGGCGTCACAGAGAAGTCTGCGTGCATAGCCCTGGATGTTCTTGGGGTCCAGTGCGTGGAGTTCCTCTGGGGTCATCTTCAGGTAGGCCCCTACTTCAGGGCATGGGGACACCTGTGGGATGTTAAACCCGTTCTGACCGCCTACCACCAAAAACAGAGAAAAAAATATGACAATTCAGTAAAAGTACAGTGAGTCAATTTATTCAATAAAACTCAAAAGGTGAGAGTTGTATTAAAATGATATTAGATAGATTATATTGAAATTATATCAGATAGAAAGTCGTCTGTACCGTCGCGGTCAGCCATACTATCGAAGAATAGCCAGGCCGAGTCTGCAGATCCATATTTGACAAAGGCAACATAGTGGCTCGTCTCAATGCAGAGCACGGCAAACAGCTCCATCTGCTGGTGAGGGTAAGATCCCTGTCTCCAAACCGACTCCTGCAGCTCTTTAGGTATAGATAACTTAACATATCGATGAGACTTACGCCGTGGGTGTAGATGTACCTAAAGGTCCAGGAAATTAACACATATGCGAGGACAGATATATAGAACAAAAACATGTACATTCACGTATATTTAAGCACAGAAAGGAACTGCTATAGTCAAGCGTGTTTGAGCATTATTCATTTGGAAAAGTTTCCATCTAGTGGATATGAAAGGTACTGCAGACAAAGATAATTGAATTTTCTTAGCGCTAGAAGAACATGTTTGTGTCTTGTGTCCTACCTGTGTATTGCACTTTTCGCAGAACTGCTTGATCTTTCCTGGTGTGATGTCACAATCTTCATAGCACTCTCTGCATTCGTAAAGAGCTAAGCCACCGCAAATTCGACATTCTCTAGGAGCTGACAAAAACATTAGTTGTATCATTTTCCTTTAAACACAGAAAACATAGAGCACAGCCAGAATGATGCATATTACATGATATTAGTTCTTTATCTCAAACACAGATATATTATTTTGGTATGTGGAATGGTATTCTAATAACAGCACAAATCAAATCAGTTATTGAACTGACTCACTGTCATCTAATAGATCTGTGATGTCAAGCTCCAGAGAAGGGAAGATCTTATTAAACATCTTAAAGTCCTTCCCAAAGCGAGGCATCTGAATTATAAGGCAAGAAGGGGCCTGGACAGAAACAAACAGACAAGAACATGACAGTGCCCTTCATTTGTCCTTACACCACACCAACAAACATATTTGGATGTGGAAATTCTCATCTAAATGCATCTTAATTCTCTTTTAATTTTGTTTTTCTATGTGCTTCAGCAAGGATACATTCAATTCATCAGAATTGACAGTAAAGACATTTAAGATGTTCCAAAAGGTTTCTATTTCAAATAAATGTAGTTATTTTAAACTTCCTATTCAATGAATCTAAATTACAATTTCACAGTATTACGGTTTTTACTGTATTCTGGATCAAAAAAATGCAACCTTGGTGGGCATAAGAGACGTCTTTCAAAAAGACTAAACAAATCTTACTTACTGACCCCAAATAAATACATTAAAAAAACATTAAGGTTACACTTTATTTCGATAGTCCACTTTAGACATTCTATTAACTATAAGTAACTTTGTAACTACATGTCAACTACATGTCAACTAATTCTCATTAATTTGCAACTACATGTCTACTAACTCTCAGAGTAGACTGTTAGGGTAGGTTTAGGGTTAGTAGAATAAGTTGACAAAGAAAGTGTTAGAAGATATTAAGCAGACAGTGTACTAATACTCTACTAACTGCTAGTTGACATGTAGTTGCAAAGTTACTTACTGTTAACAGAATGTCTAAAGTGGACTATCGAAATAAAGTGTTACCAACATTAAAAATATTTTTGTTTTGTTTTTTCACAGAAAAATAAAATAATATGTTGTAAAGAACAATAAATCATTCAGAGCATACCCTGTGTACATACCTCTGCAAATTTGAGATCACTGTTGATGAAGGACCACTCCAGAAGTTGCTGGCTGGTTGGCACCAACACTTTATCTTTCTTATCCATAAAGATTTGATAGAAGTAACAGTCCTGAACCTTCTGTCCTGCAGACCTGCAAATAATAAAATCATGTTTTTACCAAGACAAAAAACACAACTTTTTAATAACAGCTTTGTGGCGTTCCCAAGAATGCTGATTCTAGCATGGATTTGAAGGGTGTCAGAGACGCACCGAAGTTTGAGAAGAGGATCAACTCTCAGGATGTGATGAAAAAGGATGTTGAGGAACTCCTCAGGATCTAAACAGAAAGAGAACGCCTTACTATGTCACTCAACACAGAAGCTTTGATATACTGGAACACATTTAGATATTTGAACTATAGCAATCAATCAATTACAATTCATCTCACAATTCTTTGTAGTTCAAATGTAGATCATCTTGAAAGTGTTTTTTTTATATAATAACGTTTTTTTGGTGTTGAATGTACAGTACCTACTTACGAGGTCCCACTTTATATTAGGTGTCTTTAACTAGTATGTACTTATGGCACAAAAAAAAAGTTTTTGTACCATGTATTTTTGATACATGTAAGGTTAGGGACATTTCATGGCATGGGTTAAAGGTGGGTTAATAGTGTAATTACAGTGTAATTAACAGTGTAATACATCCAGTTTATTATTATTATAAGTACAAGGTAAAAACATGTATGCACATAATAAGTGCAGCTTATCAAGTTATTAATTTAAATGTTAGTACACAGAAGTTAAAGAAACTATAAATAATGTGCTTATAAATAAGTACAATACAATAAATAAAGTGGGGCCATATTATGATAACAGTTACACTGTATTTCAAGGTGTCCTTGTTACAGTGTAATTATACATTTAAGTACTGAGTAATATTAATAAACTACATGTACTTACTATATGGTTAGGGTTTGGCTTAGGGTTGCTTGCATGTAATTATTCATAATTTATTGTTATTATAATAGTAAGTACATGTAACGTGCAACAAGGACACCTTAAAATAAAGTGTTACCATGATAACTTTGACTAACGTAATATAAATTTACAGTAAATATTTAGCATTTAATACATTTTTGGCACTCTAGATTTTTTTGAACAATTCAATTTTGAGTGCAATAAATTAAGAGCCTTATTATAAAAGTATAAAGTGTATAACTTTAACAATGTATTCTTCTTTTATTAAGAATGGAATGTTCTCTGTGTCATATCAGGGCCGTGTGTGATAACTTTATAAAAGCACAAAGTGGACATAATAGGTGCCACCTGTGTTTCAGTATGGTTGCACAATGTTCCCTAAAACAGCAGGATGTACTCAAGATAAAAGATCCTTAAAAGCTTCTATGAAGTAATTGAAAAAAGAAAAAAATATCACTCCCAAACTACTTGGTATCATAATGACAGTTTTTGAGGAGATGGCGTGTTCTATTAGCGTGTTCTCAAAAATTTAAGAACTAGAGATCACATAATAGCATTACAACAGGTCTGACATAATTATATTTCTGTCATACTGTGTAGCTGAAAACATTACTTCTTAATATTTTGAAAAAAAGAGTAGTGTTTTCCAACAATACAATACAGTATAAACATTTCCAGTAAAAATCAAACTGGTGCACCTCTAATAATGAATACTCCAACCATTTGTGTTGTTCCTCAATATTACAAACACTCAACATGAAAATATCTCAAAAGCTGAATAAAACAAGTGCCTAAGAGCTTCTGCTTGCATTTCTAGAGGGCAGTATTTCTTTATCAATGCATTTCTTTGAGACTTTTCTGACCTTTCTCTTCTGAAGTGAATCCTGACGCTGCCTCCACTTTCTCCAATATCCTCCTAAGTTTCATGATTTTAGTGGCACACACGTAGCCATGTCTAACAAATTCACACACAGATTAATATAAGGTCACAAGCAGGTCTGTCACAGAGAATGAGTAAAAGGGAATATTTGGATGAATACTTAAATGTAGAATTTTTACAAGTTCTATGAGCCAAATAATATGCAGTAATAAACTGTATGCCACTCACATTCGTAGTGGGTTGACTATTTCTGTGCGTAGTAAGTCTTGTGTCTCTTTGTAATATTCTACATCAGTTTTAGATCTTGGCCTCAGGAGCACCGTATCCAACACAGAACTAAAGGAGAAAAGACTGACACGCAGAAAGAGACAGAAGAATACATATTTACAAATTTAACATTAAGAAATTATCTTTTAAGCAAATTCATTGCAGTAGTGTCAAGCAAATGTAATGTGTAATGTGTAAAGTAATTCCTACTTTTAACTCTCAGTGTAGATATCATCGAGATACAGAGAAATTAAACACTTTGTGTGCGTGTATGCTCACCAGAACAGAGTAGAGTCCAGATAGCAGGAGTTGTAATGTCCTTGTATTCCCTTCTTTTTCCCCACCATCACCTCTAAACCGTAATTTTCTGTCCGAGGAGGAGTGTTCTCATTAACTACTTCGCTTAGGTAACCCCCAAAAGCTGCAGAAAAAAAATACTGATCAGTCATATCGATTAATTATAATGTGAGCTTCAGTGTTGACTGACATCAACACGTTAAGATCTACTGTAGGATCTACAGTGCAAATGTTAATTAATACTACACAAAACAAACTTCGACTATCAGTTTATAAAAATATAAAAGATGAAAACACATGCTATTTTCAACATATAGCCACAAGAGTTGTTTATTGTACAAGTTAACATAATACTAGTACGACAGAATCACTTCCTATTCTCATCTCAGCAAAATTTAAGTCAAACTGCGCTGTCATGGTGACATGCTCATGCATCATTTTCAAAAAGATACCAGAAAAAGACATGACATCAGTAAAGCAGTTTATATGGAGCTAACTGCACCTACATGTCTGTAATGCACTTACATACATACAAAGGAATTGAGAAAACTAAAAAACAAAAACAAATACTGGAATGTGGGTCATTTACTTCCACTTTTATGCCAACAGTATTTTTCCCTTGTCCGTGTTTCACTCCAGCTCATGTACAGTCTATGTGATGTAAATTTTGTCAGAACAATCTGCTGTTGTCTGCACACACTGTCCATGTGCAGCCCGATTTTTTTATTTTTTTTGCGTGGAGCTCAAATCACATCATCAGTATGTACTAGTGATCTCAGCACTCAAAGCACTTTGCACAAGCAGAACGCATCTATCCACGTTCAGGGTCAACAGAGTATACTTTTACAGGCTTGTGCTTTCAATTATGCACTAGACAGAGCAGAACACAGAAAATGAAGTATACCCAGGGCTTTAGTGTGTTAATGTACATGCAATTTTTGCTCCTAAAAAAGTCACTATATAGAGTCACTTTTTTTTTTTTTAGATAAATCAAAATTATGCTGCAAATGCTGTTTATAAAGCTTGTATAGCACTGGACATTAAGATTACATATCCCTGAATCTGGTTTACTGTAAGCCATCATAATCATAAGCATAGGAACATGGACTCTGACAATTAAAGTGTATTTCTTACCTATGGAGTTGCATCGTTCTATGGGGTTGGGTGAATGATGTAAGGATGGGAATCGTGAGTCAGGCCTGCAGCACTTCAGTTTGACAAACAGAGCTTTCTTTGGTGGACACGTAAAATAACGAATCCCTTTAAACGTTCCATCAGTGCAGCCCACACACTCCTCCTCCTAAACACGCACAAAAGAAACACATAACAGTTATAACAGAGCAAATTTCTTTCAATGTTTTTGAAAGACGTCTCTTATGCTTAAAGATCCATTTATTTGATCAAAAATATAGTAAAAACAGTAATATTGTTATTTATATATATATATAAATATAAATATAAATAACACTAGGCTATCGCCACCAATAGCCTAGTGGTTAGTGCGCCGACATATAGCACAACTGTGCTCACACCGACCCGAGTTCGATTCCCGTCTCAAGGTCCTTTGCGGATCCCGCCCCCATTCTCCACCCAATACTTTCCTGTCTGCTCTCAACTGTCCTATCTAAAAAAAAAGGCATAAAAGCCCCCAGAAGATTTACATTTATATACTGCTATACTGCCGTTCAAAAGTTTGGGGTTCTTTTTAAATGTTTTTTAAAAGGCTGCATTTATTTGATCAAAAATACAGTAAAACTGCAATATTGTCAAAATATTATTACAATTTAAGATAACAGTTTTCTAGTGTCACATGATCCTTCAGAAATAAGTATAATGCTGATATGGTGCTCAAATAACATTTCTTAATATATGTTGAACGTGTGTAAAATATCCATTTTAAATTACATTTATCCAATTCCAGCATTATTTGATGAATAGAAAGTTCAAAGTGTGTGTGTGTGTGTGTGTGTGCGGCGCGCGCACGTTTTTGTGATTTATGAGGACACAATTTGTATAATAACATGGGTATGACATAGGTATTACAACGAGAAGGTGATTTATGAGGACATTTTGAGGTTCCCCATATTTCAAAAGGCTTATTAATCATTCAGAATGAGTTTTTTTGAAAATCTAAAAATGCAGAAAGTTTCCTGTAAGGGGTAGGTTTAGGTGTAGGGCGATAGAAAATACGGTTTGTACAGTATAAAAACCATTACGCCTATGGAATGTCCCCACAATTCACCAAAACAAACCTGTGTGTGTGTATGCATGCACAATCACTTTTGATCAATTTAATGCATCCTTGCTGACAGAAAAAAAAAATCTTGCTGACTCAAACTTTTGAACAGTAGTGTATACTAAAAAAATTTTTTAAAAAAAAGGCCAAAATATGATGTCCTTTCAAAGCTGATTAGCTCTGGCTATTTCTCCTCACTGAAGCACACACCAACACATGAAATATGAAGATATTGGAGAACCACTGGGCTACAGAAAAAAAAGTCACCACTGGAAGAATGACAGTCTGGTGAAAGAGAATGAAAGCAGCACACACCACAAACACAATATAAACCCCTTAACCAATCACAGACCGCCCCTGGAACATTCTCCAACAGTGCACGTTAGTAAAGAGTGACATGAAATATGAAATAATTACACAGATGAAAGCAATGTTTAAGGAATACAATATCCCAATGTGTTTAATGCCAAATACAAAATTCAGACACACAATTACACAATGGATGAGTGGAGATAAATCAAATATCGATGTATATTTATGTATGATTTGTGAAATGTATGAATTTCACAAATCATACATAAAACTGGCCATAAATACTAAACATTATATGTGATGCAAATTAATGAAAAGTTTTAAATAAAAGTTTTCTAAAAAAAGAAAAAAAATAGAAAATAACTGACCTAAGTAAATACATTTATCATTTATTCATTCTCATTTATTTCTTATTGCCTTATAGCTACATTTAATTGAAAGCTGAATCTGAAATGCAAACACAAATTACTGTAGCACAGAACATTCAGAATGACACCTGAGATTTTCTGATCAATGATGTCATGCTATGAGGTCACGTGCCATTCATGTCACAGTGAACCGGATTCCCAATAAAAGATCTCAGCAGCAAGTTGCCTTTTCAAATCACCACTGATGCATTCAAAGGCATTGATTAACATGTGACTTTTTCTTTCCAAGACTAGTAAAGGTAACTAAAGTTGATTGTGGTCTAATTTTAGGCTGAATATTAGCAGAAAGGCACCGTGCTGTTAAGATGTTTATTATTAGAGTTTCCCAGTCTGTCCATCTGTATTGATTATTGATTACCTTCATCTATGTACCATGTGCTTTTGGCTTTGGACTGAGCAGGGTGATCAACCGAGCTGCCATTTAGCGTATAATAAAACTCAGACTTGCTCCTGCTGCCAGGCTGCAGGCCTAACCCTGAATAACAGTCACGATAGGAAGATAGGAAAATAGGAAGACAGTAAACAGTGTGTGTGTGTGTGTGTGTGTGTGTGTGTGTGTGTGTGAGTGAGTGAGTGAGAGAGTGAGTGAGCAGCAAGTTGCCTTTTCAAATCACCACTGATGCATTCAAAGGCATTGATTAACATGTGACTTTTTCTTTCCAAGACTAGTAAAGGTAACTAAAGTTGATTGTGGTCTAATTTTAGGCTGAATATTAGCAGAAAGGCACCGTGCTGTTAAGATGTTTATTATTAGAGTTTCCCAGTCTGTCCATCTGTATTGATTATTGATTACCTTCATCTATGTACCATGTGCTTTTGGCTTTGGACTGAGCAGGGTGATCAACCGAGCTGCCATTTAGCGTATAATAAAACTCAGACTTGCTCCTGCTGCCAGGCTGCAGGCCTAACCCTGAATAACAGTCACGATAGGAAGATAGGAAAATAGGAAGACAGTAAACAGTGTGTGTGTGTGTGTGTGTGTGTGTGTGTGTGTGTGTGAGTGAGTGAGAGAGAGAGAGAGAGAGAGAGAGAGAGAGAGAGAGACAGGGGCATAGGAAAAGGGAATACATGTGGGATTACATGTTCAACAACTCATTTGTGTGTGCATTCTAGCCGAAATCACATGTCTGGTGAAGATTTCACATGATCCATCAGAACAGAATTTAGGACAAATTTTAAAATTTAAGCAAAAGAGCAGCAAGTTACATTAGAGCCAGTAAGAGCAAGAGACAGAGTGAGAGAGAGAGTGCTTCTTCCTTAAAGGATGTACATCAGTACTTAAAAATTATGGTTTTGTTTCTTTCTTTCTTTCTTTTGTTTTTTAAACAGAAAAAAATCTTTCGAAATAGCAGTTTTCAAAACCACAAACTTTCTGAAAGTAAAGTAAATTGTATTAGCTTTGAAAGCAACATCAGCCTAATATACCTGATGCTGTCTAATCTGTTAGTGGTAATCAAACAAAAGGAGAAAAATCACTAATTTCTCTTGACTGAAAAACATTGACTGTTTAATTTTTTTAATAATTACTTGAGATCTTTTTACTCACATTGGTTAGAGTAGTCTTTGCACTGGTTTTGAAATAGTGAAATTCCATTGGTATCTAAATGTTGGTGTTGTAAAATTATTTCCAGCAAAAAAATAACTATATAATGAAATGAAATTACTCATATATAAGAGTTTGCTCATATCGCCAACCACTATTAACTGTATAAATATATAACAGGAATAATACCTTTGCTCTTTGGTTTGCTCTGGCTGCCAGGTTTGTCACTGCCGCCCCTGCAGGCAAATACTTTGGGCAGCCTCTGATCCTGCATGGAGTATTCTGCAAACAAATAAAGACAGACAAGTTTCAATACAAGCAAATAGCTCGCCTAAAAAAAAAAAAATCACAAAATTCTCATATTGTTCAAAATCCACAAGATCCTTATATGGGCCAAAGGAGATTTTTTTTCTTTTAAACTTAAATTTAGATTTTCAAGGTTATTGTATTCTATGGATTTGACCAATAACATTAACACTTTATAAATCTGATCTTTTGGTGCGAGTTCCAAATAAAAAGAACAAAATGTAATTTTTTTTTTTTTAAATAGGTACTATTTTATAATTATGAAATATATAAAACATTTTTGGGTAAAACTTTTAACAAATATTACCTGATACATACGTTTACTGTTATACAAAATACTAACACTTTGACATAAGCTTTTGGTAATATCACATACAGCATCACACAAAGCAGCAGGTTACACTCTGATGACTGCATTTACAGATCCCTTTAGTTTCAAAGATAAACTAAGGAAGAGCGGTAGCTTTAAGACATTAACCAAGACAAGATGTTTTTCCCACACACATAAACATGCACACAAACAAACAAATCAATAAATAGAGGGAACAAAGAGAGCTCCACACACTCCGCTCACAAAAAACAAGGCCTTTAGACAAAGAGCTTCTGTTTCCTGTGTGTTAACATGACTCACACACACACACACACACATACACACTAGAGCCCTTTGCTTTCTGACAACAAATATTTAGCCTACACCCTGATTTGAAGTCTAAAACACACACAGAAATATCAACAATCCATAAACACTCGACAGAAAAGCAATTTATTTACTTTTTTTTTTTTAAATAAACTGCATATACATTTTAATAAATGCAATGAATGTATTGTTTTGTAAATTCTAAATTTAAATTCATTTATATTTTATAAAACGTTACGTTTTAACTTTTGTAACGACCAAGTTACTTCTTGTACTTTGAATCTGAGGTGCTCAAACTAGCAGTAAGCAAACTCAAAGCCAGAATAAAATCTAATACCCTCATCTGAAAGAATACAGAAATATGAAGTGAGAGCCCTTACCTGGCATCACATCACAGATGGGGACGAGACGGGTGTGTTCAAGACTAGCAAAATTACACAGCTGTTTGCCGTCGATGATCCCATCCCAGTCTCCAATGGGATTGTCCTGAGGGCGAGAGGTACAGCACCCTATTACGGCACCTGACCTAGATCATCTCATAAACGTTCGCATCTACAACACTGTAATTTTCATCTCAAAATAAACACGTGCCAAACAACGGTTGGCCTGTCTCTATCTCCTAATGGAAATCTTCATCTGCGTTCTTGTTCAGACCCAGACAGGACCCGTCTCACTAACTGAGAGCTGTAATTCTCTAATGGCTACACTACACAACCTACACTATCATCAGAACGACTGATGTCTCTGGACTCGAAACCCACACCCTTTACATACCAGATCTCTACTGTTATGTTTTAATCTAGATTTCGAATGTATAGCCTTTTCCTAGGTACTATTTTATGCATGTTCAAACAAATAAAGCCAAACTCATCAAATCTTCTTAGTGTATATTAAATTGCAGTTATAATAATAATACATGCATTAACTTACTAAATAGACTCAAATATATTTTAAGTCTAATCTATACAATCTATTACTCAAAAGACCTAGAGCAAAATAATGTAATGTACTGTCCTGAAAAATAAGTCAAACTCTTCAAAACCTAAACCTTTTCACATCTACACTATTTAGATGTCAGTGATAGCAAGTCCAGCTGAGCTCTGCTGAGAGAGCAGTGACAGCTTAACAGAAGAGAGAGAAACAAAGGGTGAAAAGACGAGAACAGTGGAATGGCGTGTGTTGGTTGTGTGAGCATTTGGCTGCATGCCATTATGGTGGTCACACAGAGAAAACTGAGCTGTCTCTACATCTCTCCTTCAATCTATCCCTCCTCGCTGACATCTGTCTCACTGGAGGTGAACATCCAATCTATTTTGACATACACTACCATTCAAAAGTTTGTGGTCGGAAAGATGTTTTAATGTTTTTAATGTCTGCGTATATAAAAGTAATATTGTGAAATATTATTAACATTTAACCATTTTCTATTGTAATCCATTTTAAAATGTAATTTATTCCTGTGATGACAGCTGAATTTTCAGCAGCCATTACTCTGCATTACACTCTTCAGTGTCACATGATCCTTCAGAAATCATTCTAGTATACTGATTTGGTGCTCAAAAATAGTTTACCCCCCCGGGATTCTTTGATGAATTCAAAAGAACAGCATTTATTTTAGAAATCGTTCATAAGATTATAAATGTCATTATAAATGTAATATGCCCATTCTAAATAGAAGTAATATTTCTTTTAAAAATCTTAATGACCCTAAACATTTGAATGGTAGCGTATTTTAAAGAGATGCACAATATATCGGTCCCTTCACTTAAAGTTAATGTTTAAAAACACTCATAATTTAATAACACTGTTAAATGTAATTTTTATCAAATCTCAAAAATATGTTATTTAGACAAAATGACAGAGAATTAAAGGGTTAGTTCACCTAAAAATGAAAATTCTGTCATTAATTACTCATACTCATGTCGTTCCAAACCCGTAAGACCTTCGTTCGTTCATCATTGGAACACAAATTAAGATATTTTTGATGAAATCCGAGAGCTTTCTGACCCTGCATAGACCGCAACGGAACTGCCATGTTCAAGGCCCAGAAACATAGTAAGGACATCCTTAAAATAGTCCATGTAGCATCAATGGTTCAACCTTAATTTTATGAAGCTACAATAGTAGACTGAATCGTGAATGGCAACGGAGACTGACCAATAACAGAAGAAATCATTGAATAAAGTTGTTCTTTTCATTTTCTTTGCTTGCAAAAAATATTCTCGTAGGTTCAACCACTGATGTCACATGGGCTATTTTAACAATGTCCTTACTACCTTTCTGGGCCTTGAATGTGGTAGATGCCTTGCTAAGTTGAACGAAGGTCTTACCTCATCAGCCAGAATTTGTATATCGTGCATCCTCGATAATTTCTTAATAATAAACTTAATCATCAACTTGAATAGCACTTTCTAAAATATCTGACCTTCATGACCAAATATATTGCTTCATGAAAATTGTAATATTAAACATACAGAGCATGCAACTGTAACTTGCAGCTAAAAACAGCTATTCACCACCACCGTCTAATTAATTTACCATATCAACACCAACGTAGTATCCAAGACTCTCATTGCCAGGCAGTAAGTCACAGAAAATAACAGTGCCCCGTTCTGGGCCATCCCGTGTCTGCACCAACACTCGAGAGTTGATCTCCAGTGGCGGTCCTTCGCCTTCCACTTCCGGGTCATTATCCTGTAGCGTCACACGTTCCACCTCATCTTCCCAGAGCTCAAGTTTATCCAGTGCAACAAAGACACCGCATTCATCTTCACAACGAAACAGCTGCTGACCCTGATAAGAGCCCTCGGTGAAACCTTGACCCCGGCCCTCCTCCTGAAAGACAGAGGAGAAAAGGACATTACATTCACCAACACAGACATCAGAACTCTCATAAATAACATCACGCATGTGCCATATAAACAAAAGACATTGTTGACGTGTGATGGTAGGTTTGAGACTAGCCTTAACCCACACTAGCAGCCTACAGGCTTAAATTATGTTCGTCCAAATCTCCCAGCTCAGCCCCGGAGACAAATGCAGCTTTGTTCTGTAATGATCACACGCTCAAGGACCATGTGAACCCAAAACCAGACGAACAACGTCAAACAAGACAAACAGTGTTGCTCACCAGCAATTCAACACCAAACCAGACACCACTCAGCGCTCGGTCGGGCAGCAAAGCTCCTTTAAAGCGGACCACACCTGGAAGAGGCTCGTCGCCAGACCTCAGCTGTACTCGAACTTTTGATCCGCAGTTGATGTCGCGGGCCCTGTCCAGACGCGCTCTGTCGCACAGCAGGCTGTAACGCTCTTCACAGTTGGTGATGGGGAACAGCAGCTCCGCCAGCTTCTCCTCAAGCTCCATAACGTCCCATTCATCCACGCTCACCACCACATTGGTCTGGTCCAGGATGCGTAGGCTGCACTTACCCTTGCTGGGTGGGATTGTGCGACCCAGGCTGTTGCGTTCCTGGCAGGCCTGGCCAAGGCTGCCGCGTGGAATGCGCAGAGTCTTCTGACCCGGCTTTTCCACAGTGCACTCCTTCACCACAATGTAGAAGTGCCAGTCGTCCCGGAAACTGCCTGCTGGCTTTTCCTGGCTCCATAGCGCAGAGCTCATGGCTGCATAGCAGGAGAGGGTTGAAGATGACAGGAACACACGTCAAAGGTCAGTGGGTTGTCAGGGGTCAGTGGGAATAGGAAGAGGAAGCTTTCATGACCTTTTCAATGGGATGGATGGACAGAATGGACAAAAAGAGCTGGAAAAAGAGAGACAGGGAATAATTAAAAAACAGAGAGAGTATAAAGGTTTAAGAACAAAGTTAGTCTAGTTTTTGTTTGTCTAGTGTCTTTTAGCTCATGATTTTGTCACAGCCGGCAACAGAGAAAACCTGAGTCACAATATGGTGAAAATTGTAGGGGGTCGCAATATACCGGTATTGAGGCAAACTGTGATATTTAAAAAAAATATATATATATATTGGTATGAAAATAATTCTACATATTGTAGTTATCTAGTGCCAGTAACTATCCGGTTGACACTCCAACATAATAGGTGCACATATAGGTGCACTGCACATATGTTCTGGTTGACACCCATCATTACATAAAAAAGACAGTGTATAGCTCCTACTGCTGCACAAAATCATGTCAAAGGGGATGACAGACAAAAGCAAGACACTCTAACCCGTACCCAAAAAAGTTAACTTGCCAGTGTGGGAGATTTTTGGGATTCTGATTTTTTTTTTAAAAAGACAGGGTGTCAAGGCTCCAATATACTTCAAGCGAAACCGAAGAACTAACTGGTGTGATGTCATTTCTTACAAAATCAGGCCAAAATGAAGTTTCATTGGGGAATTCGAAACAGCTTGCCAAAGGAAACTTTCTGGAAAAGTTTACTCCAGCTGGTATACATCTTCAAACTACCACTGGTCTGTGGCAATTATGTAGTAGGTAGGTGTGTTTGGGGCTCTGCCTTCTTTGACATAGAAATCGTCTCCGTTTTTTCTGTTCAGTCCGTCAAGGTCAGAAGCGTGTAAAAACATGAAAACACAGAAGAGATGCTTTATATCGAACATTGTAATTCTATCTGAGGGCAATACAGACACTGTTTTTTCATGTTTAATACTGTAAAGCTGCTTGCTTTAAAGCAATCTATTGTGTAAAGTGCTTCCAGCTGAATTTTTCAAACTTCTTTTTACCCCTAAGCGAAGAAGGAAAAAAGAAGTTCACAGTGAGTATATCGTGGCCTTTAGACACCCCAGTCGGCAGGATGAGCCGATCATCAGTAAGATCTTTTTGTGCGCTTTTGTACAGTTATGGTAACAAACAATGCTCATATTTTGAGTGCGATTCATTGGCCAATTTGACTGATAGTATTTTTTTTTTGTTCATGCAAGATTCAATAAAATTCGAATAAGTTATTGATATACAATGACGACAAACCGTTACGTAGATTTTATCTTTTTCCATTCAAGGGGATAAATAGGAGCTGTACTTGCATGGCTGGAAATAGCTGTCTGGGGGTGTTACAATTATGGCTGCCGAGTGAACTGACTAGCCCCAATGTGTTGCCACCTAAAATTACCAGCTCTGACCAATCCTTCCTGCTCCCCTCCAGGGAACTATCAGTGACCCACTAGCATTTGCCATATTATTACCATAATTAGCAACTGCAGGGCCATGGCTGGGAACATTGTGCAAGGATGCATACAAACTCGACTACTGCAGATATGCCTAAACGTCACATGAGGTTAATAAATATAAGAACGTCTCAGTATCAAAAATGCTGTCAACACCTATCAGAATAGCACTGTTAAATACTGTGTCATCAATTTTTTGAATAAAATAAAGCAAATAAAAACATATAATTTATTCAAATGAATGAAATGAACTGTGTAAAATGGAACACACACATTCAGAGCACGCTGAATGCGGTTCTGTTCTTAACTAACACAAAGTTGTCCTAAACAGCAATGCATGAGTGAAGTGATCTGAATGGAAACACCATGGCGTCAGACAGACTGCTACACTGAGAGCTGTCTGTTTCAACCTCTTATACACCACAAGACTTAAGCATTAACATTCTACCTACACCCCACCTCTGCTGTTTTTTTCCCCATCAAACTTTTTAAGAACAATGCGACACATCATATTTTAAAACAGTGAATCTTAGTTTACCCAAAAATTTCAATTCTGTCATTATTTATTCACCCTCAAATAATTCCAAACTGTAACAAAAATATTTGTAAAACACAAAAAAAAGTATTTTGAAGATGTCTCTGTGTTTTTGTGCATACAATGAAAGGTATGGATAACGTACAGTTTTTCAGCATCTTTTAAATATCTTCTTTTGTATTCTATGGAAGAAAGTAAGTCATGCAGTTTTGGCACGACGTGGGGTTTAGTAAATGATGAAAGAACTTAATTTATGGGTGAACTATTCCTTTAAGCAACATCACATGGCAGCCACTGACTAGGTTAAATTACATACTTCATCAATGACCACGACACTACAATAACCAGCCGAACACACTTGTATCAACACACAGACTATGTGGCTGTTTGGTTTTTCCCCAGCAGCAGGGGAATTCATGCAGCAAATTAAATCTCACTCAGAGCTTCCTGTATGCACAATAATGGTGCACAAATGCCACTACTGCATAATGACTAATATCGAGGATACAAGACGAGACAGAGAAGGCTTTACTGCATGACCTTTTACTGATATTGCACGTCATCTCCAGTCTGAAATGTAAGAAAAATCCAGCAGTTCAGGTCATCTGGCAGTGATTTGGGCCATCCTAAAAAGGCCAACACGGTTTTGAAAAACATAACTCTTCATCTTATCCATTGTCTGCCATGCTGGTAAATATTAGGAATCTGGGCAAACATGTCAAAGGGTTTCAAGTCAAGCAAAGCGTACTTGATTTCTGGCCGAAAGGATCAAGGAGGTCAATAATACCTGGACAAAGCAATCTGTTAGCATTCCCATACATCTCAATGGCACTTGTTCACCTCTTATTTTAAGTCAATCATCTGAGCTGTGAAGTGCATGATGTGTAAAACAGCCACACCCACCTGTAATACCAATACATTAGCAATATGAACAGGCTTTTAGAAGTGCAATTACTTAATTCATTACGTAATACATCAATGTAAACATCACATCAGCGTTATGCACTTTCTCTAGACAGTGACTGACTGCTGGGTGAAGACGATGGACAGGCCTTACACTAAATGACAATGATCAGGTACAGGATGCAAACTAACAGCTTCCTATTTAGCTGTTATTCCTAGTTCTAGAGCTCGGTTTAGATATAATGTCATCACTGGATAACGCTGTGTTGTCATGTATAATCAGTGGATCCTGTTACAGTAACAGATCGAAAGCTGATCATGTATCAGAGTCAGACTCTAGAGGTAAACAGGTGACATCAGCACGAGCCGATCAGACTGCTCTTACCTGACGTTTAAATATCCCGGTATTCTCCCGTCTGTCTTCGATGGCATTTGGAAAAAGATTATTCCAGTGAAGCTTTCGTGGCGCTGCTAGTGATGATGGTGTTTATGTGACATTGTCGGATGGGCTTAGCTGAAGCCAGCGCTGGCTACACTCCGCATTACTACCGGTTAATGGAGGGGCAGCCGTCTACTCCGTGCACTTTAAAACCGCTGGAAAAAAATCTCCGCGAGACTTTGAGGGAAACAAGAAAAAATCCGGTAATATTGGTCGAGCCGAGGCCGTTGTTTCATTTGAAACAGAAATAATACTCACTCACAGTGAGTATATTCACTCGCAGTATTATTTACAGTGTGTGAATGTGTATCTGACGGCTCAACCAAACCTGCTACAGTAGTGGAGAGAAACTTGCTCTCCTATTGGCCGATGAGTGACAGCTACAGCTTGCATTGGTCATTTCGGATGTCTTTTATTTCGCCCCGCCTCTTGGGGTTTTCCAGTGATTTGGCAGAGGAGTTTAAAGGGGTCCTATTATGCTCTTTTACGAAGTCTTGATTTTGTTTTGGGGGTGTACTAGAACAGGCTCTCATACTAGGTTGCTTGAAAAACACATTATTTTTCACATATTTTACATTATTACAACACCTCTCTCCCCAGTCTGGCATGAACGGCTCGAATAGCTCCTGTATCAAATGAAGGACCGCCTTCTGAAATACGAAATGTGCTGTGATTGGTTAGCTGGGCCAGTGTGTGTTGTGATTGGCAGCACTCGGCGCCTTGTCGGGAAATGTCATTCCCCTTACCATAGCCGCCTGCAAGCTTCAGTGTAAATTTTGTGTGAAAAATCTAATTAATTTGAGCGCAATTTAAACCCGGATGATTGTAACCACTCCAAGTTCGTCTGCCTTGGGAAGGCTAGCGTGTCTCCGACATAGTGATAACACTTGTTGCCTTCTCTAGTGCAGCTCAACCAGGTCTCCTCCCTTTCTTCGATATTTGTGATATATATCGAAAATATGCGTTGTAGTCCAAACGAGTCATTCGTTGTAGTTTTCGAAAAGTGATTTCTGTTAAATAAAATATCTCCTTTTGAAGTGTGCCCCTTACCATAGCCGCCTGCAAGCTTCAGTGTAAATTTTGTGTGAAAAATCTAATTAATTAGAGCGCAATTTAAACCCGGATGATTGTAACCACTCCAAGTTCGTCCCTTGGGAAAGCTAGCATGTTGCAGATCTTTTTATGCTCAAACAGCAACATTACAGACTAACTAAAGTTGAAAAAGTGAAAAAGCATAATAGGACCCCTTTAAGGAACTGTCAATGTGACAAGTTGTACATTAAAGTTTACAGTTTACTTTCAGTTCTTCCAAGCATTTAGGTTTAAATACACAAGGCAAATATAAATGCATATTTAATTAAAATGTAACCATTTTTTATTATTCATTTTGTACTTTTTACAGCATGTTTTACATAGATTCTAGATGGAAGCTCCTGTATCAGTAAACAAATGTTTAATGAATTTTGTGTGAAAACAAATACATCTATGGATAGTATGCAGCTCAATATAAGTCATAGAATTTGAAATTAAAGCAAAGGGATTCAAAACCATCATAAGAAATGGTGCAAGTAACAGACCTTAAATAGATTATGAATATACAATACGAAAAAAAACTCACATAAAAACAACTATGTACAATAAATGTAAACTGAGAATGAGTGCAATGGATAGTGCCAGATAAATCTTGTGTGCTACTTGTCCCACTTTTAGAAGTTCAGTTTGTGTACCATGGCTTGACAGTTTGAATGTTACTTATTAATTTTGTGAGGTTTTCTTCTACAAAGAAACTTTTGCAGTACTTTTATCTCAATGGAGCAACATAAGACAGATTCAAGACACAATGCTAACACAGGATTTTAGACAGTCATTGTCCAGCCCCATGTGATGTTCTGGGCTGCGTTTCCCAAAAGCACCGTAAGCCTAAGTACATCGCAGACCCATTGCCACCAATGGATCTATGATCAACTTAGGCTTATGATGCTTTTGGGAAACGCTGCCCTGATTGGTACACTCTAAAAAATGCTGGGTTGTTTCAACCCAACTTTGGGTCAAATATGGACTAACCCAACTTTTGGGTAAAAAATTTAATGTAAAAATTTAACCCAACGGTTGGGTTAGTCCATATTTGACCCATAGTTGGGTTGAAACAACCCAGCATTTTTTAGAGTGTACCGTGGATATTTAGCTTTTAAGCTATACCTCAACTCCATATAAGCATGTAGCTACAAGACAGCCATTTTTGACTAGCTAAGCCATGGATTCCTGCATGTGTCTGCCTCAGTTAGGTCCAGTTTTTTTTTTTTTTTTTTTGTAAAATGATGAGCTTTGGATTTGGGAGTTTGATGGCAGGCATTACAGAGCCATCTTGCTCTCAGAAGGTCAATCTGCTTTCTTGCTTGCTCAGCTCCTCCTCTTCCTCTGGGCTCAGATTATTTCCTCTCAGCCTTTAAGAGCACAAAGCAAAAAGCCTTTGTATTAAGGGCATTATTCACAACACAAACCATTCATCGGGCATGGGTATTAATGTAATAAAGCGTTTAATTTCTATTGAAACTGAATGGGGAATGAATGTCAACTTTCAGCATGTCACAATGGAACCCGCTGTTAAACACAGTGTTGCCTGTTAAGTGACGTGACATGTGGCCAAGTATGGTTACCCATACTCGGAATTAGTGCTCTGCATTTAACCCATCCTAAGTGCACACACACACAGCAGTGAACACACACCGTGAACACACACCCGGAGCAGTGGGCAGCCATTTATGCTGCGGCGCCCGGGGAGCAGTTGGGGGTTTGGTGCCTTGCTCAAGGGTACCTCAGTCGTGGTATTGAAGGTGGAAGAGAGCGCTGTACATTCACTCCCTCCACCTACAATCCCTGCCAGTACGAGACTCGAACCCGCAACCTTTGGGTTACGAGTCCGACTCTCTAACCATTAGGCCACGACTTCCCCTTAAGCCTGTTGAACTGTAGTCCTTTCAGCAAAATTTTAATCGTTAAACAACTACGAATAATTCATTAAACAGCAAAATACATACACAAATTTCAAAATGTTTAACTATTGATTTGGCCAGAAATATTGTAATGAATAAATATTATGCAAATGTATATCTTCCACATGTGACAACCTGAGTACACAGTTTAACTTGTCTGTTAACACTCCTGTTGAGTCTTGACTGAATGTATGCTATTGTGCTTTTATTGTGTTCACCTTTTTATACAATGATGAGAAAAAAAATATGAGATTGTGACTTTAGTTGGGCAGACAGATTTATAAATATTATTATAACTTAAGAGGGTTTGAACTGGGTATGTAAAACCAACATACAATACCACTCTTAGAGAAAACACATTTTTGTCTGATTCGACTTTTGACTCAATGAATGCTTGAGTGAAATGAATGAATTTATTGAGTAAAAACAAGCACACAAAGTCAGCTAAAATGCTAAAGAATTTCCTTACCAGACTTCCTTAACACTAGAGTTCATTTTCAGTGCCTCTATTAGACACTCAACCCCCTCTCTGCTGATACAGTTTTTGTTTAGCCTAAGTGAAAGAGAGAGAGGGCATGTAAATCTCAGGCATATACAGGCATGTAAATCTCTAAATTAATAAATAAATAAATATAAAAAAGGAACAAAGTGGATTACTCACCACAATTGCTCCATAGTTTTGCTCTGACTGATGAGTTTAGCCAGAGCGCATGCACCTGCACTGCCCACACCATTATCCACCAGACTGAAACAAACCAACATTATCACTACCCACAAAAATGAACACATGCTGCATAGCGTAGCTCAGCACTAAAATTTTCTTTGATCTGACTGGGCAACCTTTTTTCACTGTTTAGAATAAACTAGCTGAAAGTTTATTCTAAACAGGATTTTTTTTCATATTTCTATATGGAATGCAGAATTGTGGTAATATAGGGCTATCCAAGATTACCTTAGCCATATTAGCGTTGTGCTATTTTTCAGCGCAGCTGCCAATGCCTCAGCTCCCCTGTCCCCAATTTTATTACCCCATAATCTGGAAATGAAAAGTCAGAATGGAAATACAATTTAATATAGGTTAATATAGTATTGGAAATACAAAAATTAATTCCTCTCATTATTGACCTCACCCAAGAAACTGCAAAGACTGGTTGTAGCTTAGGCCTTCTGCCAGCTGCTCTGCTCCCTGCGACGTGATGTTATTATTTCCAAGCCTAAAAAGCAATTATATATTTTGCATGAGAAATGTGTTTCTACATGTGCAGTACAACCTGAAAAATGTTATTAGAATCATCAGCATCCCACAGGCCAGAAAAAGCACATAATAACCTGACCTGAAATAAGCACTCACCTCAAAGACAGGAAGTTCTGCTTTGATTTTAACAGCAAAGCAAAGTGTTGGGTGCAAGCATCTGTGAGGTTGTTGTTGAAAAGCCTGCAGAAATATTGAGGTTGTAATGAAAGTCGATTATTCTAACTATAACGATAAAATATGTTATTCATAAAATGCAGAGTTTAAGATGTTCAATATTCTCACGCTATTTTTTGGAAGCTTTCACACTTCATTCCCTTTTCCAGAAGTTTCCGGATTCCTTCATCTGATATGTTATTGTTCCTTAAACTGAAGGATTCAAATTCTTATAAATCAATTTGCAAAAAAAAAAAGAAAAAAAAACCCATAAATGAAAAAACTGTCACCATGTACTTTTCAGCACATCACTCCAAACTTGTATTACCTCCTTCTTCTGCAGAACATACTGTAAGATATTTAAAATTTTATTTTAGGGCTCCAAACAGCATTGTACTTTATTGACTTGCATTGAATGGACAAAAAAATAGACATTTTCAAAATATCTTCTTTCATGTTCCACAGAAATGCATACAGGTTTGGAATGACAAGAGGTTGTGTAATTGAAAACAAGTAGATGATGACATTTACATTTTTGGGTGAACTATTCCTTTAAACAACCTTTCAAACAAAACCACAATGAGTTAACCTCTCATCTTACTAAAGGGAGTGACAAATATGTAGACATGGAAGAAGCTGCTCCGCGCCCACATCTCCCACTGAATTGTTGTCCAACTGGAGCCCAACAGGATTCCGCAGGTACTTCAGCACATACCCCAGCGCAGTACATTCCACAGGACCAATGTTACAATAGGTGAGCTTCAGGTGCTCAACGTCCAACTTAGCCATGGTATCTTGAGCAATACTGTTGTCTTGCATTTCATAGATACACTTAATTAGCCAAACAAAACTTGGCATGGCATGCATGCTCTTCTTTTCACCTTCTACAGGACGAGGAATGGACTTGA